GTTAATCTTCAACTTTTAATAATTGATGTATAGGTCCAAATTATACTATTCGTTTAATTTTTTTTCTTAATATTGCCACAGGTTTCGAAAAAAGTACTGCTTTTTCAAATAAATTGAGGATAAAATTATAAAATTTAATTTTAATTGTCTGAGAACATTGAGAAAAAATTGAATATTTTAATTAGTGTTCTAGGCGTAACACTTATGGTACACGTGTTAATCTTCTTTCATATCACAAAATTAATCATGGTTTATAAATGATTCAAACTTGTCCAACATGACCACGAAGTGTATTACAATATACCTTTATCAAGATCTAATAAGCTGGCAATTCCAATCTAATTTCATCGACCACACGTAACACCGAAGTGTTGTTCGGCTGAGCTCATTCGCACCCTTCTAAAAATCCCGATTCTTTGACGGTGACGAGGCCTGTCGTTAAAATGGCCGCACCTGCATATTGTTTATAACACAAGTATATATATATATATATATATCTGGTAGATCGGGGTCCTGGATTTGTCCCACGCGAATTCCTTCGTTTAACGGCACGCTCGCACGCGTGAATCGTCATCGATGTCCCTCTTTATCGATCGTAATCAATGTATGTACTTGAAGATCGAATCAAACCAAATTTGGATCGTGTACCTATCGTACGTACCGTTCGTTATACGAATATTTGACAGAGGTACGTTCACCTTCTGAACACCTGTCAGTAAAATAACTTTAATTAGTTCCAATCGGAATGGCGATCACGTTCATCAATTCATATTACAACGGGACCATGATTAACAAGGTCTCTGACTCGAGCTTCTTTGAAGGTTGCAGAAATGAAACTTTTAAATTGATAGAGGGGAAGATACATTATTCTCTGAGATTTTATATAGCTCCTTTTATGATTGTTTAAAAAATATTAAATTTTCGAAAATTTGTTAGAGATATTTTATTATTTAGGTTGGAATTTAATTAATGACTGCGTCCGGTATGAATTTTTATTTAATTTTTTAATAATCAACTGAGAAAAATCTTCTTTTATTATTTTTATAAATACAGCAAATGAAAATGCAAATTTTACTATTTACACTAGAAACTTTTAATTGCATTGATAGTAGATTAATTATGCAAGGTAGCAAACGAAAGATAAATTGAAAATCGAATAAAAAGAAGAACTGGAAAGGTGTTTGGGAAGGTATCTTGAGGTGTTTTTCAAATAAAGGCAAACGAGTAACCTGACACCTTTTATCTCAGACATCTTTCACATGTTCATCAATTTAACTCTTTTTCTCGTAAAAGTATTCAGTTTACATTCCTCGATGTGTTTAATGGCACAAGACAAACGAAAAATTCCTGGTTTCGCATGTTTCATACGAATAACACTTGCTACAAATGCGAGCCATCTGCAAAGGGGAATAAATGGGTGCAACGAATGACTTCATCGAAGGTGTCCACACGACACTGCGTGTTCTCCTTTCAACAGGAAACAGTTCTAGACCAGTCCTGACTCTGCTTAAACGTTGTTCTCTGCTGCTTTATAAATCGACTGATTATCAACACCTTACCAACTGGGAGTCTATTAATAATCTTTCTGATACCAGCAGTTATTCACTGAAAATTAATTCATATCTAAGCCTTTTGATTCGCTTAATAAATATTTAGTACTAATAGATATTTAGTAATTTAAGGTTTAAAATTAAATAGTGAAGGTTAATCCTAGATAGACTAAAGGGCAAGGGAAAGAAGGGTTTGATGACTGTGCCAGGTGGAAAGTATTGAAAATTTGTTACTTTTTCAATTTGGAAAATTTTCGATGACTGTATGTTCATCATTAACACGTAATAATTTTATATGCACTGATTAGTGTAGTGACTTGTTCTACATAGAATAAACCGAGGTTAAAATAAAATAATGAAGGGTTATTTTGGATTTTAAATGAATTCAATCATTCTTATCCTTGAATTCCGTATTACTTGTCTCTATTAATCATTTATATTACACATTCCTTATGACGAATTTTACACTGGATCGTTCAGAATCTGGATATTATAGTAATTATTGATTTTTCTTGATTTTTGTAATTTCTTATGATCACTGTAATTTTGATGGATAATGAAAGGAATTCCAATGGAAATGATGGTTATTATAGTATAACTTTAATACAAATCGTATTACGATTTCCATATGCAAACTATATTAAAGGGTTCACTTTTGCGAATAAAAAAGAAGAAGTATATCATGTATTTTTGCAAAGAAATGACATTGTAGAAATTATAGGAAGCAGCTTGTCAGTTTAATTAACATGATGTTTCGACAAAAGTAGAATAAATAAAATACCTTTTGTAAAATTTTTAGAATTTCTTCGGGTAATTTTACACTTTGTACCATAAAAGAAGAAAACATTTTATCATTTTTTGTTTGAACGTTTTTGTTGATCGTAACAAACCAGAATTAGCCTTCGTTTTTCACAGCAATCAAGGCTCCATAATTTTGTCAAAACTTCAGAAATTCCAGAACTTCAACTGCCATGTCGCTTTTACTGGAACTATAATGACGGCCTTACGACGAGCCTTGACGAAAGAATCACGCAGCGATCAGTTATGTCTTTTGTGTTCGTTTACGACTCATTAAAGACGATTGCGAACTTCAAAGAAATATCAAAAATTGCATTCTGTTGAATCCTGTTTGTTAATATCGCTGGAAAATTAATCGTTTGTCTGTTCTTGACTGTTTCGTGCTGGAATGAAGACGCTTTGTTTATTTCGAGTTACTAATTTAGACGAATTTTATTTCTAAAAGCCATGCAAAATAAATTAGTACAAATAAACATGTTTAATTTGAAATGAAGAATCTAAGATCCGTCATAATGATAAGTATGATTCAGGCCATTTATGTACAAATACCATTTAAGGTTTTGAAATTAAAGATCCACTAACTTGGTGATAAGTCATCGTATTTTCACTACAGATGAATGTATCATCCGAGTGATATTTATTGCTTGAATAATTACGTTTGCTTTAAAATTCAAGAAAAATCCTCGAGAACACTTCTCATTCTTCTACATATCTTCAAATCGACATGTAATTTAAGGATTGCAGTAAAAGCAACAGTATAATTGCATGTTACATTTTGCGATGGACATGCATCCGGTGACGAGTGTCCTTTGAAATTCCATGGTCAAAGTCACGCTGCTCGAGGTCTTCGCTTATCTTAATTCATGGTGTTCGAATATATAATTACTGATTGCAGCACTGAATATTTCACACTGCTTTTTAGTTTCGTTTGCACCTGCTGTTATTCCTTTTCTTGACTATCGTGTCAAAGAAATAAATAAATAAATAAAGAAATTGTTTATTAATGCAATATTTAGAAATTAAAAATGAACTTTCCACATAGCATTAACACAATATTATTTTAGCAAGGTGGCAAATGTAAAGTTTATTTTGGGAAATAAAACAATCCTATGCTTAAGTAATTTTAGTAGTAACGTGTCTGACTATACATGGCTCTTTCTACTGTGTGACAGTCAACGTGTTAGATACAACGCGTAGATTTACCTATTTGCATTCATGTAACTAGATTCAGGATACTTATGCAAATATGTACACATTTTCTTCCAAGACTATCCTGCAGAACTTTAATATGCAAATTTTATCTACATTGTATCCTCAAAAAATTGGACTCTACTTTATAGTATGTGATACACCTTTAGCATATATTTCGTACATTTCCATGTATGATAAATGCATAAACATCAACAATCTGCATATAACAAAATCAGGAACGTATGTTTGATAATTCTATAAAATTTAGAATTTTTTGATGTTAATGATGTTAATTTTTATTAGATATCTAATAAAGTCATTTCAATTGCTAAAAGTTTCTCGGATCCTGAAAGGATTAATGTTTGAATCTTAACAATAATTACTCCAAAAAATTAATTTCACTCCGCAGAGTTAATTTCTTCATTCGCTAATAAGAACAATGGAAGAAGTAATTTCCATTTATATTGTCGCATCAATTGTCGTTCGAGAAAATAACAAGAGCTGTGCTCGAAATGAGTCGCACTCAATCTGAGGCAACAAGAACACTCGGAACGTTCGCTAATTTACTTTCGTATCGTTGTCGTTGCTTTCCATCTCTCGCGACCGCTGACGAACGTGTGTTCTTAACGCACGTCGAAGGTCGTCGCTTTTAAATACACTAGGAAATGAGATGTTTCGGAAGATAACAAGGTGACAGCTATGAAACACGAGTTAAAGTTTCACGGCGTAATAAGCTATGCGACCGTTCGCCAGACTTAACAGCGGCCACGACGTAATTTATAAATTACTCGGATGTACCTGGCGCGACCTTCGTGAATCCGGGATGGCCAGAAAAGCCGGGGTCGCCGCTCCCCGGGACCATTGAAAAATACTCGCGGCTCGACGTGTTCCGTGTGTCCTCGGATCGTAAAATACTTACGAACTTGTTCACTGATTCCACCATGAGTAGTTCTATCCTTTTTTTCTCTTCTCCTGCGAACAAGCATTTTTTCGTTGCGCTAATTGCACCATCCGACCAGCGATAAAGTACTTTTCGGTGGAAAATTTTCTTATGGTTCTCTGGCTATTTTTCTTAACTTATGTAGATACTTATATGGATACGTAAATAGATACTTAGGTGGGTAATTAACCAGGTGTTTACAAATGCAGTTAACTAGGCACTTATTTAAATATTTAATTATGTGTTTAAGTAGGTACCTTTTTAGACATTTATTATGATAAAAAGTTTGAATACCAAATGCTAAATAACAAAATACATATATTCTTGTATTGTCATTACCCTGTCATTATTTTAAAATTAGCCAAAATAATTTTTATTCAAATAAATTAAGAATGAATAGTTTAAGAAATTGCATTCGATGATATACAATGCTATTTAAAGAATCACGCTTCTCCTAAATCATCCAACCATTAAATTACAACTGATTTCCGCATTCCACTGAAGAATGAAATGTCTCTCAGGTACTGCTGCAGGCGGCACTGGTGTGGGACGAAGTACACAGCGCTCCAGCGAAAAGGAACGACATCCTAGCGGGCACGGAATTTCTGTCAGTCTTCATAAACGGCGCCATGGCGACGCCACCCCAGCGACGCAGAGGTTTCAGACGAGGAGGACACACGACGACGGTCGGGGACAGCGCGACGGCGGAGTCGCATCAGCACGAGGCCTCTATTTACCGGATATCTCGAAATCCAGCCAACAGACAGGTCGTTCCAAGAGCGCGGAACACCAGTGGCCGAGAAGAGGTCGTTCGGTTCTACCCTATAAGTCACAAAACGCTCGAGAACAGGCAACAGAATCTAGCCTCGTTGATCGATGAATTGGGCACCAGCAGCGATATATCGTCCACGAGACTAACGCCGCAAAGTTCCAGCACCACGGTCACCTCGGTGGCATCCAGAGAAAAGTCATCGAGAACAAACGCTACCAGTAACGCGCCCAACAAGCCAGTCAGTCGGCAAAAGGTCATAGGCGTCAGCGTGACATCCACAGTCGAAGCGACACCGTACAAGGTCAGGGTGGAGCATTACGACGGTAGCGACGCGACTGTCGTCACCCCGTCTCCAAGATCTGCCAGCAGTTCTCTGAGAGAATCGTCGAAAGACACCAGAAGCACCACAGTCAGGTCTCTCACCGCGAGAACGAGTCCTAGCAGCACTACTATCAGAACAACGACAGTCCCAACAAAGACGTCGACAGTGATACCATCGTCTTCCAGCTTCGTTACGGAGGAGCTCAGCAACATTGTATCCGAATCGAACAGGAGTGAGTTTTCCGTCGACGAAGGTTCACCGAGTACCAGTTGGCGGAGCCAGGGTGCAGTGACCCCTGGACCAGCAGCGAGACACACCGCTACCTACGGCGACCAGCAAACAGAGACTAACCTCACCTCGTCCAACTCTCAGGAGGACATGATAACCCTTCCTACGGAAGAGAATTACGAACTCCCCGAAGAAGACTCGGAACCGAAGGAGTACAACGAAGAACCCGTCGAAGAACGCTTCCAGGCTCAAGGTCGAAAGGCTGGCAGACACTACGACGCTTCCCAGTACAATCGACCCGGTTCCAAAGTGTACTCTCAACCCTCGAAGAGCTACAAATCGCCCAGACCCTACGAGCCAGCGAAACTGTACAACGAACCGGCGAAGGTGTACGGGGAACCTGAGAAAGTGTACGGGGAACCAGCGAAGGTGTACAGCGAGCCTGCCAAGGTTTACAGCGAACCAGCGAAAGTGTACGGGGAGCCAGCCAAGGTGTACAGCGAGCCTGCCAAGGTCTACGGCGAACCTGAAAAAGTGTACTCGGAACCGTCCAAGGTCTATTCGGAGCCGGCTAAGATATACTCGGAGCCTGCTAAGGTTTACTCGCAACCCGCCAAAGTGTACAGCGAGCCTAGCAAGATTTACGACTCCGAAGGTGAGCCATTGAATCAGCAACGAGCCGGTGAACCCGAACAGAACTACGAGGTGGACGAATCGGTCAGTGTGAGCAGTAACGGGAACGTTCACGGGCCTCAATTGATTCTTAACGAACCCTCGAACGCTTCGGAAGTCGAGGACGGCCACAAAGTCGGTTACGTGGTCGAGGGAAGGAACTACAGGAAGTACAGGGTCGAGGAAAGGACTCCGGATGGCTTCATCGTTGGGGAATACGGTGTGGTTAGCCACGATGATGGCTCGTTGAGAGGTGTACGGTACACAGCCGACGGGACCATCAATCCTCGACTGATTTACGACGCATTGATGAAGTTCCTTGCTCTGTGAGAGAATCATTGGACGGGGATGATTGTAGATTTGTACGGAGGCGGGTCGACCAGTCGCGTTGCTTTGCTCGATGATACGGGGATGAAGTAAATATACAAACGACTGATTTTTTTTTACTGCTTTAATGATCGGATGATCATTTTGGACAGGCCTGTCTAAAGGCTGGTTCAGACACGACTAAATTACTAGCCGTGTCTGAACCAACCTTAACTGCTAGAAGCGAATGAACCACTGCTCCCACTCTTACCGCTTCAGACTTCCCCCACCATCCATTAGTGTCAGTAGTTTCTCGCTAGATGCTATATCTGCTAGGATCAGGAATACGCGTCAAATATTGGAAGAGTCGGGGAACCAACTGGAAGAGTGGGGGGAGCCGAGCGCGAGCTGCGTGGTAGGGGAAGGAGTCACGAGTGGCCCGCGGGCCGCAGGTTAGACAGGCCTGATTTAGAAGTTAGGAGTTAACGAATTTAGGTCGAAAGATAAAGAATGGGTTTCTGATGGTAAAAGTGACGAAAACTTGATTAATATGGATTTTAATTAATAAAATAAAATACTGTTCCCTCGATTTAGAATTTCATATATTGAACAATCTTTTTGAATTCAATGTCAAATCGGTAAGAGTAGTTCTAATAAGTCAGCTGGTCGAGCTGGTTAATGCCGATAGCAATCTTCGTCACCGAGTTGTTTCTGCGGCCTGGAAAAGGTCACAGTGATCCTCACGCTGGTCTCGCGACCGACTCTTTCATCAAAGAGCTTGAAATTATAAAGGATACGGAGTTGAACAGTATTTATGAACAACCATGAGAATACTAAAAATTCATGAACATCGTAGTCATTAATTTAGAGCATACAACTCAAATACGTCTTTATACCTTCAGATTTTTATCGATCGTATATATCCGCCCTTAACTTTCTAAGGGTTAATAATCATCGGAGAACTCGTTCGAAGCAACGCGACGAGATCGACCAAACGAAAAATAAATATGACTGATTCCTTCGCTCTTGCCAACGCAGCTGCCTCAACGATTAATTTTAAGGACTCTAACCACGGTAGCGATCTGGGATCTAAAGAATTCAACGATAAAACGTATAATTCCCTGTTTTGGGCGTCGAAGCACGTGTGCATCCTATCGAGCTGAATGCTCGCTGGACGATTCGATCGGGGAATTCGAAATGACGCTCGTCCATTGTGAAACTTGACAAATGAAAGTGACTGCTCTGGGTGGCGAAAGTATATACGAACTTTTCTGTGCTACCAGAGATGGCCTTTTCAGTGACTCCTTCATCGAGGAACATTTCTTTTCCCTTCGTTCGTCTAGCGATTGCGTTCCACGTCGTGTGGAGATCCTCGATCGTCGCTCCTCGTAGTTGCGTCATTTTTGTGATCGCGTTAACCCTTTCGCTGCGAAACATCTACACTTATAAGTAAAAGTAAACGTTGTTGGTTGTAAGTAAAAGTATTTGATCAACGTTAGATTCGCAAATAAAATATGCTTACGATTTTCAATTATGAATAAACTATACTTACAGGGTGTTAAAAAATACCCTGAAGACCTCTACACCGCTGGATAGATCACGAAAAATCGAAGTGAAAAGTTCTGTAGCATTTTTCGATGGGATCAGTAGTTTAGCCACATTTCGTTGTTGAAAATTGAGTGACAGTTTGAGTGGCAAAACCCGCGGAGTAGGAGACTAGGCTAAACTACTGATCTCATCGAAAAATGCTACAGAACTTATCACTTCGATTTTTCGTGATCTATCCAGCGGTGTATAGGTCTTCAGGGTATTTTTTAACACCCTGTATATTATAATAGATTAGATTGTGGTATAGTAAATTATCAATTGAAAAATCGTTTATTTTAATTAACATTTATTGAAAAACTTTGTTAATGAATTTTATGATCACCACGAAAGAAATACTGCAGCGAAAGGGTTAAACGCAAAAAATATTTTTCCTCGAGTGTTACGATTAGAAATAGTAATTGAGAGATGGCACGGTGTCTTGTTTGGTTACTATTGCTTATTTCGATACTGATTCTTACGACGGCACACTTGTCACTTTTTTTATTTAACAATTTAAAAAAAAAATCATCGCTTGCACTTAGAAATTTCGTTTCCTGAAATTCAGTGGAAAGTAGCCAATTTCAAATGCAATTCAATTTTGAAATACCTTTTGTTAAATACAATACAGCATGTTCGATAATTTTAATTAATTTTCGGTAATAGAAACTACGTAAATTGCAAGAAGCAAGTGACCAATATCAATTTGCAAACTGTTCGCCGCGTAAAATTGTAAAACAATTACAAGAAATGGAGCAACGGAAGATCTTTAAAAATGAAGAATCGACTGAACGACTGGTCGCGTGTTTTCGTCATGGCGACGCTTCTGTGATGAAAAAGCTTATCGAGAAGTCACAGCTGCCAGGGCCTCCCCCTTTTCGAATTTCCCTTTAATTATAAGCTTATTTAATTCGGTTCATTTAGCGTTAAGTATTAGAAGGCTCCGCAGCTGCGATGGACTTGCTGACTTGTCACGGCAGCGTATCTGTGCCCCTTAAGTTTAGTAATCTTCTTCGAAGTTTCTAAGACATTCCCGCGTCAAGGAACTGTAGCTCACTCGACGAGAAAGCCGTAGAACGTAAGACGATATTATTTTATTTCGAGTTAACCCTTTCGCTGCGGGCAACGTATAATTACAGTCAATAATTAGTGTCGTTTAGTATACACATTAATTCAATATTTTAAATTACAATTTGTATGATTTATCTTTGACCTTTGTTACTATTCTCATTCATTTTATTCGTACTCTGATCGAATATCGAATTACAATAAAATAGAGCGTTAGAATAATTAACTTTCGAACGGCGGACCATGGAGAAAGGCCTAATTTGAATTTACCTTTGTTTTCAATTTTTATTTTCTAAATTTTACACTGTTCCTTGTATTCATTTTTCAAGTTTGGGTCTAGATTGACCCAGAAGAGGGTTCAAGGGTTAAAAGAAAATTATTCGCCAAATGGTAGTGATTGATTATTGATTATTGTATGATATAGACCGTAGCTAAAGGGTTAAATAGCTCATTCTTCCTCATTACCTCAATCTTTGAGATAGTTCCTCCTGCCATTTAAACGAAACGTATCATACGCGTACTCACCTTAAATTATACACGATATTTCGATCGTTCCCATGTGCATGCGCTCAAACTTGATCCCCCAAACGACAATTGAAAAGCGATTTCGATCGCTGATTTTCGAAACATCGTTCGTTCGAATGTTGCTCACCCTCGTAGATTAAGTGCGTGTTCGTTGCCTTTACCTTTTGCATGTAAGCGATTAAAGTATTCCGATATGTTACAAGTGATATCGTTTATTCTAAGGACTTCATTACGTTACGCGTACATCGTAGTCTAATGTTTATTATTCAAATGATTATGCATAGCGCTGTGCAACCATTGTCATTTCTCGAATGCAACTTTGTAATAAATTCCATTGTCATAATATCACTGTCAGCTTATTCCTATTTTTTCCGTGATTAATCTAGATTATTATTATTATTATTATTGATATTTAATCAGAATGATCTTTCTTTTTTTTTATACTTCGAGTGGTTTTTATTTCCGTATATTAACTTCAGTTCATAATAATTACACTAACCTGATAAAATAATTGAAATAACTACACTATTGAAATAAAATGAAATGAACAGTACAACAAATTTAAAAAAATTCTAAATAGCAAGAATATTACATTAATTTCCTAACATTTTAAATGGAAAGTTGAAATGAGAAAATGAATTTAATTTAAAGTACCATATTCAACCCCTCTCCCCAACTTTAAAATTAGTATGGCCTTAAACTTTCACTTAAAAGGTAAAAAGAAGAATAATCTATTATGAACAATAATCTCAATTATTTCTGTACGAAATTTCTCACTGATGTATGAATACCAAAGCAAATTCTTCCTATAATTTTCATAATGACCTATCGAAAGGGGTTTCTCCTTGGTTGGCTCCTTGGAAAATCGAGAACAACGTGTACTTACTAGTTTACCGGGCTAAAGAATGATTTATGCGATCATTATCGACACAAAAGAAAGTTGATAATAAAAGGGTTGAAAAAGTGGAAGGGTATTGAGCGATCAATCGAGGACAATAAGGGGTTGTAACCGGTCCGGATAACACCCACAGAGCTAATCGTACTACGATAATTCACACTTATGAACATTAATCTGTGCTCTCGATCGAATCCCAACGCTGTGATTTTATCAGGCCGTGAAAGAAAAATTAATTTAAATATCACGAGCTTGTAGCCAGCGGCTACGAAGCGTTGAACGTCCATGACGTGTTATTAAATGGGTGAATAAATAGCTGTGGGACAGCGGCAAAGAACGTATATTGCTTATTAAGGTTTTGTTCCCTTTTTTTTCTATGGAAATATCAAAACGTATGATTTAAGAATGTTTTTTATTGAAGTGGACACTTTTAATTTATTTCAAATCGCGTTGGCAGAAATGGTATTACCTTTCATTATTTGCAATTTTATTTTAATGTTTATTAAAAATAAATGCGTGTGAAGGAAAATATGTATATATATATTCAGAGGAAAATTTAATAGTAGATAAACATATAATATAAATAATTGCATTTCTAATTAAATTTTCATCGTTAATAAAAACGATGTTAATGGTTTTGGACTACAAATAATAAAAATAAAAATGAAGGCCTTAATAGTGTACAGTAGTAGATCTGGTTAAGTATACATTTCTTCAGAGCTGTTTCTTTCGAAAATCCATACCAATAAAAAATGTATTCTAGATATGAGAATGTCAGCCCCATTAATAATGAAATTCTACCTACCAAAACTTACCACACATCTGATCTTCAGAATAGCTGCAATTAATTTCTAAACACTATCTCAGCTCGAGTCCACATTCGTCAATCATCTCCAATCCTTTATTCCCTTATTAGCCAAAGGCGAGAACCGGTAGCCTCCTACCTCCTCCTCGAGAAGATGCATTTCACGCTTGTCAAACAGTTCATTTCTTTTCTTCTTTCATCCAGCCTTACCTGATCTGGATTCCTCCAGGCCCGTTAAATTCGTCCGTGGGCGATAGAAGCGGAACTCGAAGCGGATTAAAATATTCTGCGGATCAATAAGTTCCCCGTGGCTGATAGGCAACTCCTGCCAGGCCTGTTTCATTATCCTGGCGCCAGACAGGACTCTTTAGGGTCTCGCAGAGTGTTTTAGCCACGGGGGCAGTGAACGTCCTTGGTGTCTTTCTGGGGTCTTTCATCCTTCGGGGTACGTTCGCCTCCGGTTCGACGCCTACTTCGCTGATGGGAATGGTGGATCAAGTCGTAAGGCGACTTCTCTATGCCTGATATGGAAGTTTTATATGGGAATAGGAATGTTTCACCACCGATCCGGGATACTTTTATGGCGTATCCGAATTTTCGTCGAAATTTCAGGGAGACGCGTTTATGCGCGCGGATCCGTATTAAAGGTGAGTTTTATTTTTGAATTTGATTGCTGTTCCCCTGGGGGTAAGAGAGCTTTGACTCTTCTAAATGGGGAAGAAGTTCGGGTTTAGGCTAAAAATATCCTGAAAAGAATTTATTGAAATATTTTTAGTTGGATGAAACTCGAAACAGCTGTGGATCAGAGAAATACTAGAATCTATAATTGATTTATTTAATATTTTTCACCCGTTTTTATTCATTTTGCAATGTCTGATGATCTTGAAAATGTTATGTTTATTTTCTATATTTATATTTAATTATATTGTGTATAATTTTCTGGTATATAATTGAGAGATTCCATAAGTTTTGATACCCTGTATTGTGTTTATTTGTTCAACCCCTTCTGCTATTAATTTCTGCATCGGTCAGAGCTAATTATTCATTGCTCGAATTTTCAAGCAAATAAAAAAAATTGAAATATCATGCAACGACCCTTGACTGAGCAAATTATAATTAGAATTAAACTCAAAATTCAACCATACCGAAAGTGCCAGCCAAATTTGATACATTTGAACTGTAAGGCGCGTCACGTGTGAGACTCGATATTATAGAGCAAAGAATTAATAAAATATTTTTAGTAACACTGATATTTTGTCTTTTTAATTTCAGATGAATGCACGCTTGGATGACAGCGTTATCTGGCGGTGAACATAGAAACGCTGGAAATTTTTAATAATAAAAATACCAAAATAGTATAAAAATAATAGATAAGATTTATCAACAAAAACAATGTTGCCCAATATAATTTTTTATAATTTTAGTGTTGTAGTCACTATGTTAAATCTTTTCAAATATTTTACCCCTGGAATATCTGCAACCCGCCAGGATCCTGAAGAATCGGTAAGGTAGAGTATTACCTTACCTTAACACTATCGGACAACGTACACAGTCGGCACGATCAAAATCCTTCGAAAATCTTCAATCGTAGCTGAGTAAACACCGCCACGTGTCTCTGCCACTCGACGTTATCCATACTGGACAAAGAGGAATCATCGTGGCGCGAATAGCAGAAACGTACGAATGCGCGAGGGAGACAGTAACGGTTCATTGTGCAAATAATTGAAATACTAATCCCCTTTCCCGAGGTAGTGACAGTCACCTTAATCGAGCGGCATTTAGAAGTGCGTGCTCGAGAGGGTGTGACCCTGGAACGATCCGCGCCGCAAAAAGCGAAAAGCAAACGCGACACGCACGCGGCCCGCGGCTGTACACGTGACTCCGCATGCGACCACTTCAGGCTGTGTCTCTTCAACTTTTCCTGGTCTTCTCATTTCATGGGGATGGGTATGTACTGGACACGTTTGATGCCACTGTACAGCCTTAAACGGTTCGGGAAAATGAAAGATGGAAGAGGGTTGCATTGGATCAACCGATAACTTCATTTAGGTCAAAATGTAATTAAAAACAAAATATACAATGATGTAAAATGTTTATTATTATATAAACTGTGTTATGAATAAGCGACACTAGACATTTGGCACGTTTGTTAAAATTAAATTCTATTGAATTGAATTGTAATTCAAATTAAATTAAATTTTTATTTCAATTAAACTTTATTAAATTAAATTTTTATTTCAATTAAACTTTATTAAATTAAATTTTTATTTCAATTAAACTTTATTAAATTAAATTTTTATTTCAATTAATTTAAATTTAACTTTATCAAATTAAAAGTAGAGTGGGTCTAGTCCACCCTAAACAAAAGTCTTTAAATTTATTACTATTTGCATTGAGTTATTTAATATTTTTTTAAAGCTGAACGAACACTTTTTAAATTCATAGATGTCGATGATCCACGGTTCGTAACCACAACATGACTTACAATCAGTTCCTCCGCCACTCGACCGGCATCAACAGCATCCCCCGGAGTACGATGAAGAGGGAAGACGCGATCCTGAGGGATCCCTTTGGGCAACAATGGGTAGGTAAATGCGGAACAAGAAGCTCGGAACCTCGAATGACCGCCTACGGTGGATAATGAGGAAGAAATTAGTGGTGCGTGAAGGTACGAAGAGGCCACCTGTACCTTTACCCTCCGTCGTTTCAGCAAAGGAGAAAGAGGCACTCGTACATATCCTTCGTCCTTCGCATCGTCACTCCTCCCACGCTCTTATTTTTCAGAAAGGACTCGCCTCGTAACGCGAACAGGCACAAAGGTACTCCTCGAAGCCATTCAGCCGGCATAGATCCTCGATAAAACATTGAATGCCACTCCTCCTGTCCATTCATACCTCTCCTTCATCTTGTTTCTCTCTCGTGGACCTTCGACCTCGTAGGTAAAAAACGACGTCTCATCTTGAATCAAAGACGTGGATGGACACGCATGACGGTGGCTGTCACTGAATTTTTGATGACAGTCCCTGTGTTTATCGGTTTCTTTCAACTGATGTCAGAACGATAGTGGTTAAAGAAGGACATCTTTGGATGTAGTTTTGTTGTTTCCTTAGTATCTCTCTGAGATACGTCGTTGCTTTATTTCTGCCCCTCTGACATTTTATATTCGTATTTTGGAAATTTGATGGGTCACAGGGTGAGCTGTGAATGAAATATACAGTAAAGCTCAAAATTATTCAGATATTTATGAAAATTCAAGCGATTATTTATTATTTTTTATTTTAAATGATTTACTGCTTGCTTTCTTCTTTCAGCTAAAAATTCTATATGGTAGAGTGAATTGGAGAGTAGAATAGGAAACAATATGATGCACCTTCCACGGTATAATCAGACATGCGAGAATACATTTACCCTCGCTATACACGTGGCTTGACCCATGGGAACCTATCATAAACTCGTTGCTGTCATGTTTTAATCGTCAGATGGGCATCATTAGTCAACGAGATAGTTGGGCAGTGACAAGTGTTCTAGTTTCCGCTCTCAATAAAATATATAACAAGGGCATATGATGCGAACAGAAATTCACAAAATATCATGGTAGTAATTAATATTTTGCAATTAGATATTAATACTGGAACTACCGACGTTTGATGAACACTTATTTTTAAGTTGAAAATAATGCAGAAAGTTAAATAGATAAAGCCATTCTTTACCTCGATAATAGCCAACATACATTTCAACATAAAATAAGAAGCTTGAAGCCAGTCATTTTGACTGGTTTGGTAGTTATGCATTATATTTAATTTTGGTAAAATGAATGTTAATTAAGCAAAATGATGACTTAAACCCTCCCTAATTTCACATGCTTTACACAATATTTTATCCCGAAGTCATTCAATTGACCTGAACGAACGAAACGAGTCGTTTCACGAACGATTCCCTCAAATTCCCTGTTTCATACTTGCATTTCAACACCCTGAAGAGGTGCTAGAGCTACTACCGGCGGATTTCCCCTTCTGCAAGGTCTCACGCGTTAAATCGCGAGGGTAAGGCGACGAGAAGGTGCTCGATGCCTTAATAGAAGCAAGAGTTGCCGCGGATTTCACAATGGCTCAGCGGGTGTTCGCGATATAAATATTTGTCTTCGACAAGATGCCGGGGTGTGAGCAAGTGCGAGCTAGGCCCACGTACGCCGAGGGGTGAAAATAATGGCAACGCGACAAGGTGTACGTTGAAAGCACGTGTGTGAATATAAAATGCCGGTGTTAGCCAGGAGTTGGTCCTTAAGCGAAGGAAAGCACTCCGCCACTTGAAAGACAAAAAACCTAGCTTCGCGGCGATCGACCCGCATGTCTTTGCTTGTCAAAAGTTTGTGGGAAAGTTTTTTGAAGAATATGAAATGTCAAACCCTGATCGTGCTCCTTTTCGAGAGGAGATTTTTAAAAATCATCGAGTAAGTTGAAAAAAAATCTGTAAAATTTGAAGCCTTCAAAAATTAAATATAATATTTATTCGCTTATTATTATTTTTGCAGCACTGACTTTTATATTTCTCTCTTTGTAATTTCATTAAAACATTTAGATTATTGACGTATAAAAAATTTTCCATTTACAGACACATAATTTGCATATAATGATAAGATCATTCATTGCAAGGTTTCACGATGAACAACAAGGTTGAAGAAACATTCTCGAACAGCAATGATTGATTCGTCTTCTTATTCGAGGACAGATAACATCAGGTTTGACACTAATATCTCAGTGTTGGTACGTTTGGATGGGGCTAAAAACCGCCCTCCCCAGAATCGGGACATCTACATTCAGTTTGCAGGATAATACCAGCACCTACAGATGGCAAGGACAAATCACTTAACACGATCTGGCTGCTTGCTCGCATACTTTTCCTTCGTCGAATGACAAATTATTTTCCATTATCACCGTCAATGACGTATGCTATCAAAGGTAAAATATGAGGACTCTCGATTCTATGGAACAGAGTTTAATTAAGAAAAGTGTCTGGACAGATCTTGTCGTTCTGATAATTTCACTCGAAAGTGTCTAATTAACAAGAAATGATACATTCCTGACTTGACAAGGATCGATTATTATTATTTCATTCAGAATTTGAATGAAACGATGACTTGATTGTGTTAAGTTATTTATCGTATCGTGTGAATAAGACGGATTGAATTAAATCATTTTTGAAATATGTAATTTTTTTCCTTTCTGAGTTCTTTTTCAGTTTTTGTTTAAGATCGTTTTAAATGCTTGTTTCATAAGGAGAAAAATGAACGTATTCTATCTTGAAAAGATAGGAATGAATGAAAGACGCATGCGTAGGGTAGTATTCGTAGGCGGGTGTTAAAAGAGGCGTGGTGTCCAAGAGGGTGCAAACTACCCCTACAGTTTAATGGTTAAATTCGAGTCCAATTTTTCATGTATCCCCTTAATCATCGCCCCAGCTTCTCTATAAACTACATCAAATTTTCTAATTTAACAAATGATTACATGCACCTCTTACCAAATTTTGTAATAATTTTATTAACAGCAAAATTTAATTTGAAAAATTATAATTTTCTTTTACTGCAGTTAATAATAATCCGAAATATTCTCTAAATTTTTACATACTTATTTTTTAGTTCATTTACTGCAATTTAAAAATACTAATTGAAAAAAATGTATTGCAATAATGTTTCAATCAAGTCAAATGTTAATAATATTACCATGTATTTAATTTTTAGTTCTTAAACATACTTTTTGTCACTGAGCTTGACCCGAAGGAGATCAAGATCAGTGAAAATCTGTTTTCCTCGAGTTCACAGTGACGTATATTACGCGAGAGGAATAGAAGAGCTCCATTTCTAAGGGTTTCGAGGGAGGGATGGGCATAAATCGTGGCCGCGATAATGGAATTCTCAACGGGGGTCGCGTTGACACGGCTGCGAAGTGTCGTGCCGTAGGGGTAAATAGATCGACGTAGTGACGATGCCAACGGGGGTGTATCAAGAGGGTGGTAACCTCCTACTTATGCCTACAAACGTCTATACAAGGTGTGTATCGTGAATCTACACCCACGATTTAATCTTCATTCAACCGTGAATTAAAATAATCAAAAAATTCACGCTAAAGAATATTTTTAAAGAAACTCAAATTTTCGCTAATCTTTAAATTAAAAAAAATTTTTTTTAAGAACTGGTATTTTTTATTTTGCCCAAAATTCAATGTTTAATATTAATATTATAATATTAAAAATATTTTGTTACAAAACATGCTCCATTTACAGACAAAAATTTTCTCTGCACTCAAAATCTTGAATATCATTTCTAATATTGTGAAAAGTGGATAATCATCCATAAATCCGATTCTGAAGGAACACCCTGTATACAAGCGAGGTACCTTACGAGCAAATGATTAGATTAGCTGACGAGGAGGAATGGTCCCCGTGTGAACTCTCCCATAGAAGAAACACGTGCTCCATTTTCCCTCCTTCTCCTTGCACGTATTCGTTCCCCGTTCCGATCTTTTTCTCCTATACTGGCAGACGTTGTGCGTTTTTCGCATGAATCACGTCTCATCCCGTGGATCACCACCCTCGTTCGACCTCTGTTTATCTCGTATGTAATACGACTTTGACCGGATCCTCGATGGTAATAATTCCGATTTCGGACTCACCTGTCAAATTACTGATTCCATTAACACGATTATCGTCGACCATCCGATGTATATCATTTTTCCATCCATACATTTCCGTTCTCAATGTAATATAATACTGGCATAATATATAGTGCAATTTAAAAGAAATTCGAAGAGAGAGGGTGATGTGGTAGAAGTGTGCACAATATAAAGATAGATGGAAAGAGGAAAATTATTTATTGAAATAATAAAGTTTATGGAAAAATATTCTAGATATTTAATAACTCCTTTATTTAATAACGGCCTCTATTTTTTATTAAAAAAGGAAAGAGGAATTATTGTAGTTCTTGACAATCGAGCACTGATTAATTTTTGTTTACAAAATTTGCATATCAGAATATTAAAGATGTCTTAAAGAACGTGCGACAGTGATTGGTATCAATGTCAGGAAAGAAAGTATCATTATCAACCCCAGCTTTTATTATCAAAAGATATCAACAATGCCTATTGTACTGTTCACAGCAATTAACAGCGACACTTCATAATGTACGAGGTACAGAGGCCCTTTCAGATCAAGCACCTTCGCGGCACCGATTTTTATGGAGGATCGTCAGGTAACTAATCCCGTGCTAGCATACTGACGACCGTTAATATTATACCTTTCACAAAACTCTGTTTTTTATTACCATAAGCTAGCAAACTCCATCCCGCCACAGACAAACGGTATTACCAATAATACGTAATCCTGTGTTGTCTTACTCTCCACGAGAACGTAAATTAAACCGAAGCTTCATCGTATTCCTGCATAAGTATGAGAAAAAATATTCGAGCCTTTCAGCTAGGATTTCTTCAAGAGGAATCTTATCGATGGTAATCTGCTTGGATTAGCCTGCTGGAGTGCATATTGATTTACTCGAAAGAGAAAGCTACCGGACATTAAATGGAAGGTAGGAGTTCAGGTGAATATGTAGAAAAATGAAATCATTTCCATTTTTCATTTTGGAGAAAAATAATATTTGATTATGGAAACTTAGAATTTTAGAATTTCAAAATTTTGGAAATTTAGAATTTTAAAACTTTGACTCCTTGTTTTTTGAAATATTTTTTGTCAAAATTAAAAAAATCATCCTTTTTATCAATCTTCAGAGCTGATATTTGTATAAATAAAAATAATGCTATTTTTTGTAACACTTTGATTAAAATTATTTTGACTAATATCCAGATGTCGTAACTTTCTCCATGGCTCCTGGAATCAAGAATCGAAGTAGTCATAGATTTATGTCTCTCCTCGTAAATTTTTGGTAATTCGCCTGGGAATTGGTAGCCCATTGTCGGGGATGATTGTTGCGGTTTGCTCGTGAATGGTTTCAATAAACAGCATTTCTCGGCAAGAGTCGAAATAACAAATAAAAATGAGATATGACACGTTGGATTTTAGAGAAAATTTCGCAGAATTCGGGTCAGTCGTGCGCCGTCTATAAATTAAACTGGTCAAAACGAAACGAGGCGGTACACACGAAAACACAGTGGTCATTTCTTGACCTGTCAACCGATAGGTGCAAGGGTATCCTGGATTTGGGAAAAACCAACCTCCACGACTTGCTACCATTCCCTGATTGCGCTTTGTCCGAAAAAATCGTACCCGCAGAATGAGCGTCGTAAAACCACAACAATGAAGGCAAAACGGACCCTTCACGATTATCGGTAGAGTAAAGGGCTGTAAAAATTGTTGGCGTACGTCCGGGGTGTCTCGTATCTCTTGTAGAAAAGCACGGATTAAAAATACGTACCTTAACGATCGTTGATGTTAATCGACAGGATAAACCAGGCATTTTTTATTTTTATTATAGCAATGTCCTGAAAAGGTGCTTGAAGAGATTGTAACTTTTGTGAAATAGAGTGCATATTAGAGAATTAATATTCCTTTTGTACAAAATTTAATCTTGAAATTAATGTTGAAATATAATAATAAAATAGCTTCTTCCCAATATACATTATTTTTATTTTAAAGTTTACCTACTTGCATAATTCAATTTGTATTTATTTATAAAATTGAATTTTTCATAATAACCCAAAAAATATACCGGATATATGTAATTATAAAAAAATAGCTATTAATTACCATTAAATAAAAAAGAGTAAAAATCATCTGACGCGGCTTAATGGTGATTCTAACTCGAGGAATCATTGTCGGCATGGTCCAGCTAGCGTCGAGGGGGTGATATAGTTAAATCTCATGGCGCTTCCGGAAACGCTTTGTACGGTGCGGGCGGGTATTGAATGACGCGTATAGTTCATACCAAAGAAGCACTTCGTCAAAAGGCGAATCGGCCGGGTAGCAGGCGAATGAAAAGAGGAGGCGAACGGCGAAACGGCGTCGACGAAATTTGAGATCTCGAGGAGGCAAAATGAGCACAGTGCGGGCCTCTCTTAACAAAATAGGACAGAGAGAATAATAACGAGAACGGTGACGGGGAAACGGGGGAGAGAGAGAGAATTCTATTACGCATTGCGGGTTCGAGCCTCTTTGAAAAAGAACTTAACCTGCACTCCATAACAGTTTTATTTAAGTAACTTGATATTGATATTTATTGAATCGTTTGCGATGAGCTTCAATTTATGATTTAATATATTATTCTTTATCAATTTTATAATTTATTGGTGGGGTTATTTCTATTATTGAAATTAATGTTCTTTTCTCCCTCTAAACTTACTTTTAACCCTTGAACAGCGGAGTCTGGGTCAATCAAGCTTCAAACAAGGATATTAACTTAAAATTAAGTATATAATTGTTAAAGAAAGGAGCTTCATATGATAAAAAAATAATTTATAAAAGAGCAGTATAAAATTTAGAGAATGAAAATAATATGAGATACACAGTTAAATCAGAATTGGGACTCTCTCCATGGTCCGCCATCCGCGAGTTAACCCTAGGCACCAGAATTAAGTTCTTAGGGTCATTTTAAACCATATACAAAACAACATACGTAAAATATAGAAAATTTATTTCTGAATTTAATATAAAATACCGCCTTCCAAAAACCCCACCCCTCTTCCAATTCCCTCGAATTCCCTTGAATCACCATCAAACAGTCTGCGTCCAGAAACCTGGTTTGTACACAAAACGATTCTACTCCGGTTCCCACCGTGATGCGTCGCAATCATGCTTTACTGAGGAAAGAGGATATAAAACAGTAGGAGAAACGACGAGAAAGAGAGAAGGTAACGGCGAACTTGAAGAGGCAAAGAGAAAGGGAGGCTGAAGTAAGTGAGGCCAGCGAGTAGGCTGACAAAGAATCGACCATCAGCACTGTCAGCACTGACAGTGGGCTCGAGTTACGTCACTGGCTAGGCTGTTGTGCTTTTACAGGACGGCCATTGAAAAAGTTCGCTCACAGTCAGTGCGGGTAGTCGAAGGCAAGAACGCCGGGGGATCTTTTCCGTTCCGGAGACAAGAAGACGTCTTTGCCCTTTCATGGAAGAGGTGGGAGTGGTTCCAACTGAAACGCGGCCCGCCATCGTGAATACATACGCGAATGGTGGAAAACGTTCCTGAATGCTTCAATGGATATTACAGTTGAGAATCTTATGGTTACTTGCGATCGGATGTTTGAAGGGAGGATAGGTATTACGCGGAGGATTCATTGTTTGATTTAGGGTAGGTTTGGTGCATCTTAACACCTTAGATGAATGAAGATCCTTTATTTGCTGAAAATCTTCTAAATCGTGAATTACAATTAAAATTTTATTTAGACTTCACTTGTTGAATCATCCCTGAAAGCCTTCTTAATAACAATTTTGTTACTGCCATTAACTTTTTTCAAAGTGATATTAAAAATCAAATTTTTAATACCGTCTAAAAATTGTCAACTTTTCAACGTCTGAGAAGTTCGTTCGACAGACAGGAGGAGAAAGATTCCCACCGAATGTCCTTCTCTCTTTTTTTTTTTTTTTTCATCGGTAATAACGACGAGCAGTTTCATAGTTCTTGGATAGGTGAATGCGTAACAAGAAGCCGGATGTTCCCGCCCAGGATGGATCCACGTCTTGCAAGGTACCTTCAAGGAGTTTCCTCGCCTTCTTTTCTACCCCTCCCGAGGTGTAGCGTCTCTGATTTCTGATCTGTTAGCCGGTGCAGCTACTTGTCACTCCGGTGTACGCCCATTTTTCATCGAAAAGAAACCATAACGTAAAGATATGTTCGTTACGATTTTTCGAGATCCTAACCGACGACTGATTTTCATAACACTGAACTTCCGGCCGACTAACGAACGTTAGGGTGACAGACCGACGTATCTTCTCCTTTTCAAGTTCATGACTCGTTTATAAATATTTCTTCAAGAAGTTGCAAGAGAAATTGTGGTCATGACTTAAGATTCAGGTTAAAGATTCTCACGGTTAAAACTGTTGGGGTTGTTGAACTTAAAAATTATATTATTTTTAATTACTGTACGTTTCCTCTCCTTTTTGTGGAACGCTTCAAATTTATTCTAATTCTTATTCTAATCTTCCTTAAAAGATGCCAATACAGTTTTAAAATTTCCACACAATTTTCCTCGAAATTTATCATAAGAGCTCTCAAAAATCCTCGAATTATATTTTCAATGGGAACATCGTTTCCCATGTCAAATTACGTTCTCATGTGGCAATAACTACGCATATGGCGGATTTTACCTCGTTTCATCAAACTGAACAGCCACTTTCCACCCTCATCGTTCAGGTAAAACACGAGGGCATCGGTGATTCTCGCATCTATACCATATCGATCCGACCATATGTTTCATGTTTCCCATAGCGTTAGGAACACGAGTGCTCTGCTTAGAATGAGAAGCAACAGGTTGCTTTGCTGTCATTGTTCTAATCACGACAGAGATAAAACGATTTCGTGCACCACGCGAATGAAATACAATGTGTTGAAATAGTAATTTATTTTCTAATGGAACTTCATTGTGAAACAATATGGGTTGAGATTAATTTTTGATATATGGAGATAAGTTTATATTTCTTTATCTATAATATTATAGAAAAATTCATAAGATTTTTTTAAATACTTAATTATTTCATTATGAAATGAGGGTTGAGAGATTTTTAATTTAAACTTTACATTAAATTACTGTTGTATATTAAAAATAATTTGTTATTTTAGTGTGAGATTTGTTATTGTGATATATTGTAATTACAATTAAAATGTTTATGCCATTATCCTAATTTATTGAATTTGTCTATTGTTTACAGGACATAATTTTTTCAGTTACCCATAAATTAGAAAAATATCGCATTGTGGAGGAACAGTAGGACGTCGTGAAGATTTAAAGGGACAGGCAGGTGAACTCTGTAAAAGGCAGCTTCACTAAGGATATCCGAGGAACAGAAACAGAGTCAGTTCAGAAGCACGAGCTTATCCTCCATTAACGCGGTGCACGGCCTAACCTTCGCCTTATTTTCGATTCTAGGACCGTTCGAAATTTTGACGGAGTCCACGGTGACCTATAGTGTCTGCCAAGTCGACCGTATGATCGCTATGGGATTACCACTTGCTCCAATGATCCCAAACGAGAAGGCGCTTCGACTAGGAAAATGTCAACCTAATTTTGCAAGATTTCTTCTGAGGTTCCCGAAAACGACTTAAGAAGGTCCAGAGTTTATTCTTCCCTCAGGATAGATCGCTTTTGATCCTCCATGTACAGGATGTATTATATTATTTTCCAGAAATCTTGCACTTTCTACATTTTTAAAATAACAATTTAATTTATTGATAATATTTTTCTTAGAATCGAAACGATAAGAAAGAAAAAACTAATTATAAATGAAACAGAGTGATAAGACTTTAGAAATTTTCAAAGTTAACATTTTCTCATTTAGGGTATGCAAACATTTTTATTCTTTCTAAGCTACTTTTTTTTTATTATTGAACCTCGGTTAGTAAAAGACAAAAGTGAAGGTGGAGGGTGGATTTTTTTTCGAATGAAACGAAGCGCCGTAAAAGGTGCGGCTTACAAGCTCCTTTCACCCCCAAAGGACGAGCCTGTCCGAACCTCGTTAAATGCAATACCAGTAAAACAAGGCGCAAACAGTGAATAGCACCGTCGGCAGATTAGAGTTTCTGCGAGGACCCGGAGTGCTCCCTTAGATGTGGAAGAAGATAGCGGCGACATAAGACGGGGGCAGGATCTCTACCTGGCCTCGCAAGTTTTTGGATTTAGACTGCTAAGGACGAGGCCACTTGCAGGCCGTGCAAGCTTACGGTCATCGCATCTTCTTCATCGTCCCCCCTTGTTCTCTTCTCTTCGAAACGAAGATCCTTCGTCCTTTTCCATCGACAGCCACAGAACTGGACCACCCGTCGATCTGTTACTTATATAACTCTTTGTGAGGATCGATGGTCGGTCGAATTAACGACAATATTGGTGGCACGATTAGCCCGAGAGCTTGTACTAAACTGGCTTTGTGCTGACCCTATTATCGGCGTCCTATCTCTTCGCATTTATCTTACGAACTTACTCTTCGAGAAGATCCTACATACAAAGGTGTCTCGATCAGAGCAACGGTATTTAATATGGTTAAACCTTTTGTCGGGGATGATGTGGATAGGTGTTCTCGAAAAGTGACTGTTAACCCCTTCAGGGTGAAACAGAGTCGGCCTAAAATTAACTGACACGCGTCCATTGGAGTTTTATTAAGAAAAGTTTATCGTGAATTTCTGAATTTTAACTCTCGAAAAATGGAGCTAGGTCCAAAATTTATAGATATATCAATTTTTAAATAAAAGGATTTCATATAATGGAAAATATTTACAGAAAATTAAAGTTAAATTGTTATCGTTTGCATTGTAGTCTCAAAAGCAAAAATTGACAAAAATTGAAAATAGAATTTTGTTAGTGCTTCGAACCCCTTCATGAGTTAACTTTGATTAAGTTGAATAATTTGGTATAGCCTTTGCATGTTATACCCAATGAGATCGATAACATTATATTCCACCAATTTGTTCCCCTAAAACGGCAACGTTCCCCTTCTGCGATTCACTGAACATAAATACTCTTAAGTTTCTGTACCCGTTCCTGTAAGCGCACCGTGTGATGCCAGACAGTTGTATTTTAATACCGAACCCGTAACCAGCTACTTGTAAACGAATCTACTTTTTCACCTTCTCATTCAGTGCATTCAAAGGGGAGGAAGAATAATCCAGCATCGATTGATAAAAACAAATAAAAGTGCATTTTATTAATGTACCAAAGTATTTAATTTTTATTGCTACTCAACAATTTTGTAATATAATATTCTTCATAAACAATGTATAATTGCATTTTTAATAGGATAGCTATAGTTCAATATATCACATTTTTATAAATATTTATTTATTATTTACGTTATTAAAATTACCAATAATTTGTACCTAAAAGCATTTTTTCATACCTTTTTAAAAATAAGAAGGTTTTATTATAAATAATCCAATTCAGCAGCAAAATTATACGGAAGAAAAAATCTGAACGAAGGTAAAATTCTTTCGATCTACAAACTGAGGACGTCGTATTTCATTTTCACGCTTGTTTCAGGGTCTCGTGTAACAGAATAGAAAAGATAACTTCAGCAGATCCGTCTGTCATTGTAAAAATTTTTCCTGTAGTTCGATAGACAATTGTACTTTGATCCCGGTCCTATTACAGGCCGTTTAGTTGCATTTGCCTTCTTGACAAAGCGACTCGAATCTTTTATTTGCGCACGAATGCAACGCAAAACGCAACATGCCTTTGTGCAGTCCCTTCGGGACAATTACGTGGATAATCTTATTTTTCGACATATTGCGGCAAAGCCTAAAAACGAGCCACGGTTCGCTGAGCATTCGTCAAAATTTCGTCTTTCTGTTCACCAATCCAAGGGTTAATATAAATTTCTATTAATTTAAAAATATCATGCTATTGAAGGAAAGCTATTTTAAATAAAATCGAAAGTGACTTTCATTCATATAAATAAATGAAGATAAATATTGGAAAACTATTTAATATAAATTAAGAAATGATTAAATTCACCCAATATTTGTATAGTATTTTTTCTAATCAAACACCACTTGCTCACATCTACCTGCGTTAATTAATCGTTAAATTAATAAACCCCCTTTCTCCACTCCATGAATTTGTTCGCATCAATCAGCACGCGGTGCACATAACTAAAAAAGGAAATCCACCACGTGGCTGCATGGGGCGATATCATCGAGAAGGTCCTTGAAACCGGTATGGGGTGATCGAGAACTCGATCCAGAGATCCAATCTCCGTAATATTACATCGGTTATGACGGATTCTTCGCGTAATTCGTGCACTCGGTTGCCGAGTGCGAGTACACCCTAAACCAGGTTCCCGCGCGAAGGGTGCGCTCTTCACGAAGGGATGGGTCACGAGATAATTCAAGATGGAGTCAGGGAGTCAGGAAGCGGACGCATCTGCCTGCTAGTGTATTATTCTATGGTGTATATTCTGTTTAACCTCCTCCACGTATCTCTATTCAGGATAGGAATGCTTCCTTTTTTCATCTTCTCACTCTTTCTACTTTCTTCCTCTTTCGCTTTCTTTGTTCTCCGTGTTCCTTTTTTACCTGATATTTTCATCCACGCATCAGTTGATCTGAAAAACTATCGAATACATGGTTTTGCTTTTGTTAGAAGCAAGATTTAGTGAATTTTTTTCTTTTTTTAATTAAGAGTTTATAGTCGCATCAACAATAAAGGTTTATATGGATCTTAAATCCATTACACTTGCAATCTGCCATATTAAAATTAAATTTTTGAAACTAAAAGAACTTCTCTATAAAAATGATTGATAAATTCATATAGAATTTGTTTTTCTTTTTTAATATTTATTATTATATCATTTGACGATATTGTTTTGGATGTGTTAGAATACTAATTACTCTGAATTATTTAATTATAATTGTATATAGGCAAATGTAAACCCTTCCATTATGGACAGTGTAAATGTGTTGTTCTAAAAAATTAATAAGTTTAATAACTTTCAAAAACGTTAAACAATTGAGCTAAGTAATAATAAAAATTTTCATAAAATTAAAAAATAAATAATACCTCAGGTAACGGGGTTGAAAAAATCCATTTATATTATTATATTGTATCAACCTTTCCACATTTCAAAATCTAATAATCAAATTTAACAATTAAATTATCGAATATCATGAAAAATAAAAAACTGTTAAAATTAGTCGAACGAAGTGTCATCTCGAAAATCCTTACGGCAGAAAATTAGCTGTTGTTCGTAGGAAAAGGGTGACGAGGCGATCTAGCGGCAAGAGGTCCACGAAATCCACACAGCAAAAGGGGTGGAAGTGGCTTCGTTTTCACCTCGGTGCTGAATGAATAGGATCGTACAAAGGGTGAGAAGGGTGGGGAACATCTGACGTCTCCGTTCGTTCGCCACTTCTCCCTGCTAGCTTCGCCTGACGTTCAACCCCCGGCCAGTCAGGGTGGAACCAGCTCCTTTGGAAAGGACCGCCCTTTTTCGAGGGTAGGGAAGTCGTCGGCCAATGAAGCGTCACGACGCCGTTCCTGCAGGCCTGTTTGAAAACGGTCAGGAGCCGTGCTTACCATCAAGAAGTCCTCGCTACGATGACTGTCAGTCACGTTTCATCGTGGAGTTAGCCCTTGCTTCGATTATCAGGAGGCAGGAAGTAACGTCGAGTAGTCTCCTTCGGTTTTTCGGCAACGAAACATCGTCCTCGTCACATGCAAGTTTTCAATACCTGACGAACCATCCTCGTGATTATTTCGTGTACGATCGTTCGTGAATCATCTTCGTGGTTGTTGTTGAAGTTGTTGGTTATTGGAGATACCGTTCACTGGACGTTGCTGCGATAGTGGTGGTTGTGTTGTGAAGATGCAGAACCAGGAACCACAGATTGGGCATATGCCTGTCTCGCAGCCGAAGATGCCCGCCTCTTCCAGTAAGATTTTTTTTTCATATTTTCTGATTTTTTGTAATATTTGTAGTGGGTCATTCGTCGGTTATATTCTGATTTGTTTGAGAAAAGTGTGATGTATTTTTAATTTTTTTTTTTTTGTTATTATTTTGCGAATTTAAGAGGGGGTTAAAATTTGCTTAAGGTACATTTCTTTCATTTGAAAAAATTGATATTTTATTCAAGTGTAATTCACGTTAATTTTTGAAAGCTTTGTCAAAAATACTAATATACAGTGGTTGACATAATTAATCAAATATTCGGTTTCGTTCTTCTCAAATGCAATACCTTCACTATTTAATTCAGCACCGTTTTTTATATCACCGTGAATTATTTTTTAATCTATTTTATAGAATGCTACAGTCACCGAAAAATATTAATTTTCTTAGCACTGGTTATTCGTCAAAACAAATTACAAAAATCACTTCAAAAATTCCATTTTTTGTTCCAAGCTTTTTATTTTCTTTGACCAAAACAAAAAAGAAATTCTGTTTTCGCCGTCGTACATAACGGTTGTGATGTTTCTCACGTAGGCAGTAATAAAACAAAATCCTGGTTTATGGTACTCGTTAGCTCTGAAACCACAGTTGTAAAAGACAGCTACTCCCGAACCTGGTGTCACCATCGGAGGAGGTAGTAATTGCCCATCCTTCGAAAAATCGTACCTGAACAATGGTGTTACCTTTTTCCTATTTTATTGCTCAGTTATTGTTAGAATTCACAGGTGATGCTATGCTCCTTACTCACCATTTTCTAGTCCGATAATCGCAATAATGAATTTCTTTAGGATTACTTATAGGGTTGAAACTTATTGAAAGAAACTTAATATTTCAATATCTTTTTAAGAATTTTACTTTCGATAGGTTCTGAACATTTATAATTATATAAAATTTCAAATTTGTTATTCAAAATATGGTTTAAATATAAATTGTTGTTATTTTACCCAAAACAGGATAAACAGAATATTAAATCAAGCATAGCTACCCTTAATTATCAATTTCTTCTCAATTTTTGTTCTAAATATTTAAAACCTCTCTTTCTTGTGATTAGATTCTATAATGTTCACGTTTGATGCATTAATTACGTTTAGGAGAGGGTCGCATCGTTAATTATACCGCAGTAGGAAAGGGTGTTTGCCATCACGCGGCTCATCTCGTGTGAAACAAATAGCATATGCGGCATTTAAATGACACGCACGGTCCGTACATTTAAATGATTCGTCCCCGATGGTATTCATCCATGAGAAAATGACAGCAGATGGTCGAAACACACCATAGCAACTATGAATCTCCGTGGCTTACTAACAGGTTGTCGTGGGTGGTTGAATTCGAGCGTCATTTGGCGAGGAATCAAGGCGCCTTATTATGCTTTCATCTCGTAAATTGTTTTAAAACCCACCTGGTTAATTTACTGCTATGATTACCTTTTGAATACACCTGCGATTACTTCAATGGTTTAATAAAATATGTATATTAGGTATTGTAGTATAGCTCTTAATTATTTCAATTTCGACATTTCGTTTCACACAAAAAACTTACCCTGAAATAATTTTACAAAAATTAAACAAAATTATTATTTTAATTTTGCTAAATCTTTTATAAATTTTTCATAAATATTATTCTTCAGGTTTGAAATAAATCGTGATACCAAAAAATATCCCCAAACAAGATCTTGATAATTTTTCATTAATTTTATGCAGAGATTATAATTATTAAATGCGTTTCAATAACAGAATTTGTGAAAAGGTGAAAGGTGCTTACCAAGGGTTGGGTTGCATATTCCAACCCTTATAATCGCGATGGGGTAAACAGATGACGGATGAATACACGCGTATTATTCGTATCTATCGATGGAAGGCGTATGGTTTTTCACACATGCCGCGAAATTCCCATGCTCCACTAACGATCCGCGTAACACCTGATGGACAATGACACGATTATATCAATGGTGATGTCATCTGAACAAACTAGCAATGAGATATCACCCTTCTGTTTGTCATTTCATGTCGTGGCTGAAAAGATTTTCAATTTATTAACATTTCATTGCATTATGCATATCATAAAGCTTATTTTATGTTAAGTTACGTGGAATGTAGACAAAACTTTCACTCAAATCTACCAACGGACTTTAATCCCAAGATTTCTAAGATTTTTTGTAACGTATAATTCCAGGGGAAGATTATCCCCTAGGATCACTGAATACTTTGCTTAATTCTCGAAAATAAAGGATTTTTTATACACCTTTCTCGAATTATTATAAAAACGTGAATATACTTTAAGGAAACAGAATTATTTAAGCAGTTTAGTACTCTTCATAGGGATTCGAGGAACAAGTACCCCAAAATTATTTTCAGCAATTTTATAGGATGAATTAATTGAAGGAATATAGCCCAAGGCAATGATTACGTACAAGTAACTTTGAAAACACGAATTTACGCTTAATTTCTCATTCAAGTTCACGGAGTACACAATCGCCCTTCTTCACCCTTTCGCCTATAATCGCGACAAACTTTTCCCTAAACATCGCCCTCACGAAACGGTAACATTGAAACTACTCGACCAATGGGCTTTTAACGATAAAGAATTCTGTACAAAGTAACATTTTAGCCTGAGTGAATCACATCCGGTTGAATCGACCCCGAAATTAACCCTTCGTCGACTGCAATTTGGGGGCAGCTAACTTAAATTCTCTGCGATATTAATATTTCATAAAAAGAAATATTAAATTTCTTAAAAACTGAAAATAATTGAACAAGAAATATTTGTCATAAATGATTCATTATTTTCAAAAGAAGCTAAAGAAATCTATTAATTGAACTAAAATTTATTTAAAAAGAAAATTCATAGAATATTCTGATCGTTAACAAGAAAATGGAAAACGAATGAAAATATAAGGAGAAAAAAAAAGTCGTTCTTGTGCAATACCCTTTCCCTTTGAGAATGCACTTTCAGCCTTGAGTACTTGAATTGCGTGTGGTTAATCGCAAGTAAAGCGTGCGCTTCTGAGCATTCGCCTCCTCCTCATGTCCTATCCGGTCGAGGGTCGAGCTCGATCACTGTAAAAATCCCATGAATGATTGATGAATCAATGGCGAGGAAAGCGACGGTAGGAAGATGATTGGCTCTCGCTAAAACATAGACTTCGATTCCACGTCGATGAAAAATTCAATCGTGAATGACTCGCGAGCCATAATGATCGAATGCAAGTTTGATGGTTGAAAAGTGCATCGCGTGATATTAATACGCGTTCCTTCGTGCACGCCTTTCCTCCTGCTCTTATTTCTACGTTTTTCCATTGATCTGGAATTTCTTCAGATTTCAAAATTGCACTTTTTTTCTGTTTCTATGAACAGAATTTGCTTAGACATTAGAAAAATTGGCATTAAACATATGTATATCTACTTTTAAATTAAAAATAAATAAATGAAGGATTAAACTATTGATTAAATATTTTACATACAAGTGTTCAATAATGAATAGTTATATAGTAATAATTTTAGCAAATATCGTTGTACATCAATTTTGAAAAAATTACAACGCAATAGAATGCACTTCATTGCTTCAAGGTATTACTTGGAAAGACGTTTGGAGAAGTTCTAGCGAAAGTTCTGTACGTGAAAAGTATACGTGTTTGCAATTCAACTTTCCCTTTACCGTGGGAGAAAAGGTTCTTCTGTATCGTGCAAGGGTGCACCCCTATCATTGCAACCTGTTTTTTAATGCGTGCATCGTATTTCATATAATGCATAGGGTTCTATGAATACTTCACTTACGTAAAAACCTTTCCTTTGGTTTCTTGCTTTTTCTTCATACGACAGGTATTGATTGTCGAAAAACATTAATAAAATTGAATGGTATCGATAAGTAGAACACATTTCGTGAAATCAACAGGTTGTTGCGTTTCTGATAACCTATTACCTTAACCTATTAAGAACCCCTCAATGAAACAATACAATTTATCATTATTTGCAAATTTATTTAATTTATCAAAATCATTTTTTAATTTTCTATTCCTCTCACTAACATAAACAAAAATTTACAGAATTCAATAACTGATCTGAAAATGATTTATTAAAATCATTTTTTAATTTTCTATTTCTCTCACTAAAATTTAAAAAAAAAAAAAACAATTTCCATAGTTCAATAACTGATCTGAAAAGTCTATACAAAGTCCCAGTGAAATCTCGACTTCTTATCTGCCAAGCAAACACCTCAGAAAGCACACAATGCCCATCGATCTCCAAAGCCACCCCCGCGAGTTTCTTTCTATCCCCATAACTGATACGGGAGGGTAAAAAAGCGCGGCTCGAAAACGTTTAACCTTCTCCCATAATAAGATCCACGTTAAGTAAAGATAAAGGAGCCAAGGGAAGCGATCAAGGGAGATCAGGCGATACGAGCGAAGTGTCGCGTTTCTGGCTGCTCACTTAAGGGCTGCTGAATGCAGCAGCCACATCCGGTCTATTCAGTCCCATTCACCAGCCACGTCGTTCTCAATGGCGTAGGCGGAGCCCGTGACAACGAGTTGGTACCCCCATTATAAACGCACCACACCCTTGATGTCCCACGTAGAAGGGCTCAGCACCAACGAACAGGTATAGAATCGCGTACGTCCAGGAGGTCCTTCTAGCTTCGGCGACAAATCGATCCATTCATCGGCCATGTCATTCACGGGATCCGTGTTTTCGCTGGTAAACGGGTTCCGATCCAAAATACTGCCATTCTTTCAGATTAGACTAGCGGCTTTCTTCTCGGTTTTACCAGCGACAAACGGGATACAATGCACCGTTTAGGAGCGGGTCCTGAAGATTCTGGGCCTTCTTGTTTGGCTCTTTGTCGTGTTTAGGGAAATCGAAGCGAACGACAGTTTGATGAAATCTTGGTGCAGGGGTTTCTGAAGGGACTCAGGGGTTTTGTGAATATTTGTGTGGCGAAAGTGAATTTTTTACTTCTCCGAAATTTGATTTAAATAAGAAGTTTGATCGATGAAATTTATTAATTAGGATCCCTGAACTGATGAAAAATTTATTTTGTTATTACAGGTCGCATTCTTTACGACATCCCTTGCAAAGTGTGCCGAGATCATTCTTCGGGGAAACACTATGGTATATTTGCGTGTGACGGGTGTGCAGGATTTTTCAAGAGATCGATAAGAAGGAATCGTCAATACGTTTGCAAAGCGAAATCTGAAGGAGGATGTATGGTGGATAAAACGCACCGGAATCAATGTCGAGCATGTCGCTTGGCCAAATGTATTCAAGCTGGCATGAACAAAGATGGTAAATTTTTAATTTTAAATATAATATTCAATTTTTCTTGAAGCATTAGACAAGTAGCTCTTAAAAATTCTTTAATAATCATCTTGAATAAATTGTGTTTAGTCGACATTTTTTCAAGTTAAATAGTCAGTAGCAAACACTCAGATAATCTTATCTTGAAAGTACTGTACACGTTTCCATCATCAGTATAAAGCAAAAAAGCAAATAAATCTCTGCCCATAATGTGCGCTAAACATCGTATTAACGCGAATTTCATATTTTTCCAGCTGTGCAACACGAACGTGGCCCACGAAACTCGACTCTACGAAGGCAGATGGCCTTGTATTTTAAAGAACCCGAAATGATGGCCAACATGGTGCCCCCACCAGCCGGAGCCTTGGATCTAGCTTTGCCCAAACCAGAACCCCGAGTTTCTGTCGCAGCGCCAGCCCCTCACCATCCCATTCCACACCCTATTTATTGTAATAGCATGGCCATGTCGAAGGTAAGCCTAATTCCATAAATCATATTTTATCATACATGTTTTTCACTTTTAAACAACATTATTTACTTGTTCTATTAAATTTGTATCACCCTTTGATCTGTATTTAACCCTTTCGCTTATAGAAGATACCATAATCATTAGACATGCAATGAAAATTTTTGGAAAATTTTTTTTCTAATTTCCTCAATAACCTTGAAAGATACTATATTGTAAACATCAAATAACCTTAAACCTTTTCTCAAATTTCCAGATTCCGGTCAGTATGGCGGGTCTACAATCGGTGCCGTTGATCCCAGCGATAACAGCCGAGTCCATCTGCGAGCAAGCTGCGAGATTACTCTTCCTGAACGTCCACTGGGCAAGAGACCTGGCTGCTGGAACGAACCTAGCGATGGAGGACCAACTAACCCTACTAGAATCCTCCTGGAGAGAACTGTTCCTCTTAGCAGCCGCTCAAATTCTACCGACACTAGATCCAACCGCTCTTCTTCCTCCTGGTCACCAAGGATTGGGCCTAGCCGTTGAAGTGAATCGGTTCAAAGAGACCCTGGCTGGTTTCCACGCGATGAACCTCGATCAACACGAATTCGCGTGTATCCGAGCGATCGTGCTCTTCAAGGCTGGTTTGGACAGCGAACCTCTTCCCAGCAGCAGAAGCAGCAATGGTTCCGCGTCGCCCAGTACCGGAAGTAGGCTCAGAGATGCGGCCGCAGTGGCGAGATTGAGAGACGGAGCTCAATTGGCTCTTGGACAGAGATTAAGTGGTGCATCCTTCGGAGCTCTCAGGTTTGGGAAATTGTTGCTGTTGCTGCCGTCGCTTCGTTCAGTCTCCACCCACGCGATCGAGGAACTATTCTTCCGGAGAACCATCGGAGTCATCCCGATTGAGAGGATCATTTGCGATATGTACAAGGCTGCTTGAACGGGTCATTCGGAATCATGGTAATTGGAATTAATCGAAAAGCTTTTGGATTAAAAGAGTTTTAAAATGGCTGAATTTTTGTCTGAAGAAGAATTTATGAAGATAGAAAATTTGTTAAATGATGACCTGAGATCATCTGCTCTGAATATTACTCTTTTTTAGAGTTTTATTACAAGGACCTGTAATTCTCCAAAATCTCAAGTTATTATGAGATGTATATATAATTTGAGCACAAGTGGACATTTTAGAAGAAAGGTTTATTAGTAAGTTGGGAGAAAGATTGTGGAATAATATTGAATAATGAACTAACTTCATTAATTATTGAAATAGGCGCAGAATACTCGTGGAAATCAACTGTGATGGGAACATATCACAAAAGATAAAACATTTAAATGAAAATGTTTTATAAATGAATTATTTTTGTATTATTATATTATACTGAAACGAAAGTTCGTACAAGGTACGTCGAGAGCAATAATTCAGCAACTATACGTGTATCTTAGTGACATTATGTTTTATTCGAGCGAAACAATCAAGTTTAATTCAAGAAATTATAGATTTAGGGTAGTAATGTTTATAAAATGTACTTTGTTTTAGTCGCGTTCGTTGCAATATGAAATACTTCAAAACGTAAAAAATTTAGGAGTAATTAAGGATTTTTAGTTAGACTAAACGAAATGAACCATGTGTATAAATGTAAATTACGATAAATTTGTATTAATGTTAAACAGCAATGATTATTTCAAATGTACGAGGATGATATTATCGCGCCTATGGCGTGCAACTTAAATGTAAATAGAGTTTTAAAAATATGTAAATAAAATGTTACAGAACATAAACATTTTCAAGCTCCAAATCACTCTTTCAATTCACTTTCAATATATTCATTAAATAATATAATGACTGTTAGCTTTTCAAAGTTACTTTTATCAAATAAAAATTCTAGCAAATAATAATTAAAATTTTTTATTGATAAGGATTCGATTAAAATATATATTGCAATTAAAGAAAATTCATAATAATACACATTATATATTATTTTATTATTAATCATTATTTACATATTTGTCATTATAATATTAATAACAAGTATACATTTTCATAAATAAAAATTTCCTTAAATATTCCATGCAATGGAAAGTGAAAGGTACGGTAAACAGAAGCAAATTACCATTTTTTTTTCTTTTTCCAAGAAAGATTTCGAAACGCCTTGTACCGTCGGCGAAGAGAAGAGAAAAAAACTTTCACGGCTAGCCAGGAACATCTAAATTTTACCTGCACTTTCGTGATACAATGAAACGTATTTCATGGGAATTTTACGGTGATTTGAGTGGTAATCGCAGTACAAAGGTTGGCCGCGTCGGACTCTTTCGAGGCTGTCAGTATATTTAGAGGTATTTCCTATCGTAGACCAACGTGTAATCACTAAGACGGGTAAATAATCGTTTTGGTTGACCGGTGAAAAAGCATTCGAGTATACCGATGGAAGTTGGCTGGCAAAGTCTGCACCGTGTTCTTTGTAAAGAATGTCACACACCCTCTCGGATAAATACGTTCTGTTATTTTTAACGATGATCCCGGATCAATGATCCTTTTCGGGGTTGATTATTCGATGTTACAATCAAGTGTGTATAGCCTCCCAGTTGCACAAAGATATTTATTTATTCAGACTTTCTCCGGTGTAATTGAATTTGTTTAAGGGATCTTTGAAACTTCAATACAGAGTGAAAATTTAAATTGGAAATGTACAAAGAATAGATAAACAATTCAATAAAATTTTATTTTATTATTTCGTATATTATTGCAGAACTTTTTATACATATTTTTTATAGAATTTCAAAAGAAACGCATCGTAGTAAAAAATATTCTCACGAGTTTGAAGATGAAATAAAAGAGTGATGCGGGAAATGTGTCGGCGCTGGCTCCAACGGTGTTCGAGTGACTCTTCTGATTCGCATGGCTGAACCCTGAAATGTTGCCACTTAACAGTCGTTGCGTTCCTTTGCTCATAAATCTGTTTGTATTGATACATAGCACCTCGATAGGTACCAGCTTAATTCCTCAGTCACTCGAGACGTTCGACGATGTAAAGAACGTCGCGTCGGGTTATTCTCCTAGAAGGATGTAAGGTTGTGCTTTCGAGTGATTCTTGTAACAGTTCTTCAATTTCTATAAAGGACAAGAAGAATTGATGACAGTTTATGCAGGTAGAATTATTCTTTTCAATATTTTACTATAAAATTTTTATTTTACAATTTTAATTATTCAACAGTTCAATGGTTCAACAGTTTTATCTATTCAATTTGAAAGCTAGCATAATTGTAGCTATAAATTTACATTAAAAATTGAATACCCTAAGTGCCCATTTTTCTTCTTTCGAAGTTTGCGAAAAACCTTTCTTTGGTGGTTTCTTGTACCTCAAATATGACAAATCATTACATAAGGGAAACTTTGTGTCACTTAATACTTCATTAAATATTCATAATTTTACTAATATTTCATGCCATTAAATACGATTATAATTTCACTTTGAAAATTAGTCATTTTTCAATATGTGATAAATCGAGCTGTCTAATATAATTCCTTGAATAATCTTCTAATATTGCAAAAATATGAAATATGCAATTGAAAAATACATAATATCCAAAGAAAAAGTGTCAAGTAACAAGAGTTGCGATCTCAAACGTCGCCCGAGTCGCGCATCAGAGTCTAACACAAAGCACAAAGCATTGGTACGGCAGCTAAAGGTTGGATTAAAAGGTGACCGCGGAGTCCCTGAAGGCTGAAGGCTCAAGGATTTCGGATTCGAACATTGTACGCTGACAAATTACTCAGGTAAACAGTCCGCCCAAAAGTATCGGTGAACGTAGTCCTAAAGGGGGCTGGCCCTTCGATCTGGACAGTTCGCAGAATTTTTTTTGGGACGAGCAGATGTAAATACCGCTCCAACCGCGTGCTGCGAGTCTTCTTAAACAAGATGAGGAAACAAAGCAACGGATACAATTGGTAGTGAAACAGTTTTACCTTTCAAACCACTGTTGTTTTGAAATCAGAGCAAGGTTACTTATTTAGGACTGTTTTTAAAATCTATGATACAATGAGGAAAATATTTAAATTGAAAATATAATTTAGTAGATAAAAATGAATTGATATATCCTTTTATTTGTAAAAATAAATGAAATATTAATGAAGCAGCTATTATACAACCACAGGAGTATAAAATTAAAAAATGAATTGAATAGATCCCTTTTGTCTTCCCACAGGAGTGGAACGAAAATCCTCGAGCAAAAGAAGTTACCAAAATCTAGATCGGTGAAGTGCAGCAGTTTTTCTCTCCAGTTGCTCGTTAATTGACTACAATGCCGGCCGCGTATGGAGCGCATTTTCTGTTTTGTTACCTCAAAACAAAGCGTACAATGGCGGCTGATCCATTTGAGAGGTCACTCGACCACCGTCCCCGATTTTTCCCGTCGAAGAGTTCGACAGGACGCTGCGGAGTCTGCTCGAGGATCAGGCGACGAAATCGAGATTGTAACATATAGTCGAGTGTCCTTTGTTAAACCACCGGCGGAGAGCGCAATTACATCCTCACCCCCATTGTAACTCGACAGCTTTTTGTTACTGTTACGTTCGGTTACCTTGTTTCCAGCGACGCCAAAAGGGAGGCAGCCAAGGTATAGGGCGAGAGAGAGAGGGTAACACAGGTTAAGCAGAGAAATTGCCACGTACGGCTTCCGTACATGGTAGGTACGTGAACTTTGGAACTTTACAAAGGGCAGCCATGGTTTTTTTTTCTCTCGCGGGATAATTACGCTCCCAGAGATCTGAGAATTATGCGTGCGATTGGGTGATGCTGAAGGGCCGGGTCTTCGGAATGGGGTAGACTGTCGATAATGATGAAGCTAATGCCGTGCTTAACATATTGACTACAGTGAAAATAGACATTTCTTTCAAGATATTCGAATATAAAAATAGTTAATTTTTAAATATCAAGTTTTAAGGTTTCATTATATTATCAGTGTAATAGAAATATTTTTCTATCGTTTCCTTTTAATTATTTAACTATATCGAATTTGTAATTACAGCCTGTAATTACATAAAGCCTTATCATTTTAGTACATTACCAGTGCAATGCTATTCAAAATAATATTTATCTATCATTTTCTTTTAATTATCCCACTGTATCTAATTTGTAATGATAGTCTAAGAAATAATTTCAAAACCCATACACTACAAAGAAAAAAAATGACCTCATCATAAAATAAACTAAACAGCTTGAAGGTACGTAATTATAAAAAGCAAATGAAAATAAAAGACCTACATAATTATCCACTAACAAAAAGAAACAAAAGAAACTAAAGGCGAAAAGACATGAAACAGTCGATCGAACTAATAAATTATAACGAAGAGAGAAAAACGCGACTGTCGAGATCATTGTTCCGATGATTGTTTCTCGAAATGACCCGCGTGTTACGCACCCCATTGGCTGTCTTAGGACAAGGTGCTGATGTACACCACCGGTGGGAACCACTTGTCGACTTTGTGAACGAATACAGAAGGAGAGCAATTACACAGTCGTGTTGGTACGATTGACACAATGCCGACTGCGGAGGTCCCTTTTATTTTAAGCGAAGGAATTCTGTTCGGAAACAGAGCTGCACCTACCGTATCCCAATCGTTCTCTCTGTTCGTCGTCCATTGTCGGCTGTTGTTTTCGTTGTTATTGCCACCGCTACCGGCCCCGTTCTGATTTCCATTCAAGCTTCCGTCGGTCTCGCCATCCAGATCGGGGATTATTATTCGCTCGGTTGGAAACGTTACAGTATTACATCGTGAAAGGCGCTGCCTCCTCGAACCAGAAGCACCACTTTTCGCGAGTGGTCCACAGGGGTGGCCGGTGGACACAGAATTGTAACATACGGTGTTTCGAGGGTTTCATTAGATGGAGATGTTAATTGCGAGCAGCACGATGTGCTTTGATTCTTCTTGTTACGCTCTCTACCCCTTTTATCTGAGTGTTTTTTTCTTCAAAAAGAGGAATTCAAAATTCCAATTTATAATTGTCAGAAAATTTGAAAGAAATTTGAAACTTTGCTAATAATAAAATTATAATCATTTTTTGTCTCGATCTTAGGGGTGAAAACCTACCCTTACAAAAATTGAGTGTGAATATTTAGAAAAGTAAAAAAAAATTTTTAAGACGACTTTATAAATCATCTGACAGTTTTAAAGCGTAGAGAAACAAAGCAGAGACTCCTGGACAACGCCGCTAAATCACACGCGTCGGCACGCCTTGAATGTAGCGTTAAGGCGCGCGCCCCGCGTCGCGGAGCACTTCAGTTTTTCATCGTGAATGAATATTTGCACGTGCTCTGGAGTGTCTCGTGTCAGGAATTTAATAAAGCAAAGACGAGGATGAGCAGCACGTACGTTTTCGTCGGTTTTCACCGAAGCAACGATCTTTCCCTTCCCTAGTTAAGGGATGCCAGCTGGCTCCTCCCACCCTTTACGACGTCCTCGATCTTTCTGGCTAACGCATTTTTCTTAACTCCTCCAAAATATTTGCCTTATTTGTTGAAGGGACGTTTCCGCTCCGCTCGCGAGTTAGAAATAATATTCAACCTTAAATTCGAATTATTCGTAATTCATCTTCAGACTATAGAATTAGAACCATCTTTTTTTAATCGACTTCGAAAAAGGAGGAGGTTACTCAATTCGATCAGTATATCTTTTTTGTTATTAGTAAAATTAAAA